TCCAGGGCCTCATGTAAACATAGTGGTATGTTCTATGTGCAGGCAAAGGGTTGTCTGTTTTCATGTTATGTCAAAACAAAAAGTTGGTCCCATATCCAAGTGGATGTAGGGGACATGTTCGTAGAGGAACATGCTTACCAAGCTGTGGCATTGTAGTAGGGTAGCCAGTTCCTTTCCATGCCTACTTTGACCCCAACATGCTGATGTCAGCGTGTTAGTACTCACTCACATCCGAGTTGATTAAAGGGCGACTGGGAATGAACCTAGGACTTGTGATTGCAAAGCCAGTGCTCTACCACTGAGCTATGCCAACTCCTTATGTCATATATGCACTAATAAAGTCCTGGTTTGTGGTTCTGTTACATTTATTCCAACAAAATCTACCCAGCCACCACTGTGCAAAGTCAGTATAATACAGCAAAGTGAAACAGAGCAACGAACAGTAATCGGAATGAGATAATGGTGGCATGACGTGTGTCCCCAGAAGCTGGACATTCTCAGCATGGCTTGACTTACGTGCCATCTAGAGGCAAAGGGTTAAATGATGTACATCATTAATAGATAATCATTAATACCCACTAATTTTGATATTAGAAAAAGGGATTTTTCCCTTCATCTAATAATGATAATAATAAAAACAACCCTTGAAACAGCAATATTCTCTTAAGAATACAACATAGTAAACTAAGTAACATAACTCAAGAGAACCTGAAACAACTGAACAGAGAGAAAAAGACATACTACAGACATGCAAGAAAAACTTCACAGAGGAGAAAAACTTGTTATATTAGTTTGGCTTAAAATTTGGAATACAAGACAACACACACTCGTACTTCACTCAGCTTTAAAAGTCAACTTTTGTGGTTGAAAAGAACTTTACACCAAATGACCTATTTTTTCTTCCATAGTATATACTTCATACTCCTGCAATTGATATCAATTGATATGAATATAAATGAAATAGGAAAAAATGAAATATTCTCTAGGGCATCTAGACATTGGACATGGAACAACCGTAGACACAATAAGTATATGCAAAGCAACCTTCAAAAATACAGAAGTGGTACTTATCAATTATTTTTACTAAAGCCATGAGTAAAGTCAATATTCTACATAAACCAGTCAACCCATTGGATCCAGTTGCATCATGGCAATCAAATCACCAAAAATCCGGGCATTAGACTTATGAGAGTGGCTACTCTACCGGATGGCTTCATGTAGGCTGGGCACACGCAAACATGTCTGCACAGTGGCAAGACTCTATGCCTCCTTTTTATGCCATTTTTCATTGTCCATATTTGCCATTTGATTTGCAGATTCGGATGGTAATATTTTTTTCTTTGCACTGACTCCAATCATCTCTCTAGGTAGTCTATAACTATGCAACACTGTTATTTGTGTCATTTAAAATTTTTTTTACATAATATTCAAATTTCTGTAATACAACTCATGTCACTGCTCATGGCGCCAGTAACATGATGCTAATCTTGGAAATGGCATCCTCAATGGAACCGGCGCTCTTCCAGTCACCACTTACAGATATTTCATTCTACACTCATTCATCAATGGGAATAATGCAATATCGCCAAATGAGAAAATAAATCTGCCAATAGGTTTGTGCACTCATGGAGGGTCTTTTCCCTCACTGAGGCCTTCAGACAAAAAAAAAAAAGCTCGACAGGTTTGCGTCACCCGGCCCACAGCCAGATTTTCCTGTGATGGCATGTTCACATCGTCATGTCACCCAGATCCAATGGGTTAAGATACCTTACTGATCATTATCCTAACACTAAAAGCAAGAGAATAAACAGAATACTCTGAATGGAAAATTTTGAATGAACACAATCTGCATAACAACAAGTTAAAAATTCATTTTAGGATACTTGCATGATATTATACAAGAAAGAGTGGCTTGACAAGTCTGAATACCATAAATTATTCAAATGACAATTACAATACAACTTTGGGGTCACATAAATGCTCTTCAAGTAATCTAGACTCAGCAAAGAAAACCAAGGACCATAATATTTCATATAATATCTCTTAATCTGAAAATATAGAAGAAATTAAAGTTCCCATAACTAGGTAATTTACTATTTGTTCTTTTAAGGAATACACCAGAACTTGATAGATATTAACATCAGAGACCACACATAAATATTGTTACCATTTTTTTAACAGCTAATGGTATACATATGTGAAAGAGAGTATCACACATCTCACTAGTATAAAATAAAGCAATCAGTGACAGCTTACCTGACATGATGCAAACTCCCTCAGCAATTAACCAGCAAGAGATGTATTTGTAAAGGGTGATTTTTGCCCAGATTCCCACTACAATATGCCGCCTCCAGATACTAGAGTCCTGTTTATAATTAAGAAGTATACATGAGATGAGCTTAATGTTGCTCTGTAGTTTTATCATTACTGTTTCAAAATACTCCTGATGAAGTTCATTCTAATATTCATAGAGCTAACTGTCAAAAATCCTATACATTCTATTCTTTGCAAGACATAATCATATTCTAGCACTAAATATATAAGGATTTCTTCCTGTAAAATCATCCTTCTCTTTAATATTAGTCCACAAATTAGAGGCCCATATACCTCTGAATTCTGGTCAATACTGGCAAATTCTCAAATGCATGAGGGAGATGGGAATTCTTACATTATATTCAGATGAGTTGATATATGAATCTGGCAAGTAGCTAATGCCAACTTGGTATACAGCCAGATAAATCAAGCCTAATCCTCCACGAAGTAAGCCTGGTAGGAGACATGGAGGACGTGCACTACCAAGAAGAGTTCCCTGTTGAAAAGGAAATATATCATACATGCAACATATATAAATATATATTTTTTTGTCCATCACTGAATAATAATAATCATCCTTTTATATGCACCCATGGGAAAAAGAAAAAAAGAAAGAAAGAAGAAGAAGAAAAAAAAAAAGAGGACACTTACACTAACAAAGTCCAGGTAACGTCTCATGGAGAACTGTGGCCCCACCATAAAGGAGGCAGGGAAATACGTATGTGCAGCAACTTCAAGTAAGCTTGGTCTAATACTCAAAGCCGTTTTTTTCTGGTCATTTGATAATTTTTCCTGAAATTAACAGTAACATGAAAAAATGACTTATAAATAATTACATTCTTTTTTACCCCTTGGATCCAGATGCTTTACTGCCCATATATGGCCCAAAAACACATTAGGCTTGCTTGAACTGCCACTTTGATGGGTGTGCTGCATGTAGGCCCATCACATATGAACACTCGTGTGCTGTGACAAGACTCTATGCCTCCTCTTTGCAATGTTAGTTTCTCTTTTCCTGCATAAGTATCTTTATCTATTTTCTAGGGTCTGTATTTGTCACTGGATTTGCTTTCTCTAGATGGTAATAGACATTTTTCCTTGCATTGACTCCATGTCATCTCTCTAGGTAGTCCATAAGTCAGTGAAATAATAACAACAATATGTAATGTTTTGTTATTTATATTATTTCAATTTTTTCGTAATATTCAATTTTCTGTAATACAACCTACACTGCTGGTCACCGTGAACAGTGGAAATAGAATCCTCCCCGGAGCTGACGTTCTTCCAGCCATGGCTCATGGATGGTACATTCCACACTCATTTATCAATGGAAATAATGCAAAAGCCCCTTCCTAAATCCCTACTGAGTCTAATCACCCTCCAAGAGCTTTGAGCTCTTGTGGCGAGTCATTCCCACCACCCTGGCCTTCAGCCAAATTTTCCCATATTCAAATCAGCCCTTAAGCCAAATTTCTTCAAGGCATGTTGGTCACATCATCTGGATCATAGGGGTTAATATATGACAGAAAAGATATTGTAATTTTCTCAAAAATAACTGCTACACTAGTGAGCACAACAAAATTAATGTTTTATAACAACTTGATTTTGATTTTAAAATAATGGTCACAGACAGAAAAATAATGATTAGCAAGGATTACAGTTGCCTTTAAACATCATATTCTAAAATACTAAAATGTTGTAGATCATATATGCAGATTAATTTCACTCTAGGCAGATACATCAGTTTAGATACAAAGCATTCGGAACAAGTTGAAAGTTTGAATATACTTATAAACTATTGGGAATGGAATCAAATCAACAATTTCAAATACAGCCACAAATCTTACTGGATCTTTTGTGCCATCATATACATCATAGGTGAGTGCTATGAGCCGCAGAGTCAGCACACAATGGGGCATACTCCACTTGATGTCGTAAGTGTCTGTTCCCGTGAAGTAGTAACCTGGAAAGTCAAGATGTCAATTACTGGGAACCTTCTGTGAAATGATTACTGATACTACTGATGTCTTAACTATGAGTGTAAATGATGACCTACTGTGCAGTCATGATTGGATAAATGTAAAAGGTATGCACTTTGAAACAAGGAATTATAAAATAAGTACCAGATGGAAAAAGCTGGGAATTTAAAATCTCTGTCTGCTTGTTAATTTATATACTGAACTGTACTGATTATCACAACTACAAGAGTTAATGGAGGTACCTCTACTGGTAAACCTCTTGAATACTGCTATAAAAGTACTAGCTAATAGCACTTTCTATCTTTGGTACTATTTCTTCTGACAAGTTCTCTTATAGGATCTAGTTGTAGATTTGAAGCTGTTTTTCTAGTGCACTATTATATAAATTTATGAGTGCCATGGCAGTTTTAAAAGCCTCAAAATACTCTCCAACTTTGCATGTGTGTTTGATATCTGTTTTAGATAATCGTTTTTCTTCCATACTGCAAGCTTCAAGTTGTAATGGACCAAGGTATTACTTATCTTAGAAGACTTAAGGTAGCATGCAGTGTAAAAGTAAGTTTCACATTTGGTGACAACAGTTGCATTAGTTTTGAAATGCCAGGCTCATCTATTCAGAAAACTAATCCTGTACTGTCACTTTTTTCTTACTATATCACAATGACTTAGAAGTGAGAAAAAGAGAAAGAAAATAAAGATAATTACTCA